CTGCTTGTCTTTGCATAAAAGAAAACTCCGGTTGTATGCAGAAGTAACTAAGAAAAAAGATGGCTTCCCGTGAGGAGGGTCTCGGTGCTGCGAAACCAGATAGATGAGGGACAAAGATGGGAGGAAACCTTATTAATAAATACTTTATTATACATGTATATTAATGTATCACTCTATTCACGAAGTTGACTGAAGAGTGAGAGACCACAGAAGACAGTGATTAAAAATGCAGATTCCTTAGTGAGCCCTGGCTTTGCCGCTTGCCCACCAGTTGTATGAGACCTTGCTCAGGTTCCCTCAGTGTGCTTTAGTTTTCTCATTTATAAAGTTAATTCTTAGAAAGCACTTAGAACAATATGTGTCACCTAGTAAGCTGCCGCTATCGTTAATTATTAGTAGGAATATTAAGGATCAGTAATTCTCAGATTGCATCTCAAGTGTCTAATTTTTGTCACATTTGTAAAGGTATTAGAAATATCTGATACTTTTCTTTTGTCCCTATGATATCATATTTTAACTGAAGTGGCTGATAAATGCATGTGAAGCGTAGGTTTCCTTGTTTCTCTTGGCCTAGTGATTAAGAGCCTGGCCTCTGAAGTAGACAGAACTGGGTTCATAAACCCCTCACTCCAATGCTTCTCAGCACTGCGTTCTTTGTTAGGCTCTGTAATAGATGCAAAGGTGTTGATGTTGAATTGAATAGATTGCTTTGATGAGGAAGGCATGGTCTTGAAGTCTTGATTGAAGATGTTATATTCTGAAAGACTGGGAAGGGAGATCATTCATTCATTCATTCAATTTTGTATTAGTGTCTCAGGTCTAAATCTGCATTCAGGCAGATCCTGTTTTCCATCAGCTGTTATTACTGTGTTTCCCCGAAAATAAGGCCTAACCAGAAAATAAGCCCTAGCATGATTTTCAGGGTGCTTGTAAATTAAGCCCTACCCCAAAATAAGCCCCAGTTAAGATTGTCAGCCAGACATGACTGTATTTGAATAAAGGTAGATTTTTGTACATGAATAAATGAATAAAATGCATCTTTTGGAGCAAAAATTAATATAAGACCCAGTCTTATTTTCGGGGAAACACAGTAGAACAGACTGGAGAGCCACACTCTGGAGTGGGCTGGTAGGACCCTGCGCTTGGCCTGGAACTATCCTAGGCAAGCTACTGATGAGAGCCAAACCCAGTTTCATTCTACAGTCAGTTGATGATTCTCTTCACCTGAGAAGGACCAGTCTAGATTATACCCTGAAGTTTGGGTTCATGTGGGAGGTGGGAGTCTGTAGTCAAAGCTATTTCTTTGCTTTCTATTCCTTGTTTCCCAATAGTCACCAGCTATGGACAATGTGTGGTCAGTTAAAAGTTGATCAATGCCAGAAGCTCACCATCTACCAGTAGGGCCTTTGCTTCAAGAAGTGTTCTGTTGCGAGGATGACTCTCGTGATTAGTAGCATCTTGTAGCCACTTTTCAGCAGACCCTGACTCAGGGTGCTCTCACTTGTAAGATACCTGACTGTGCTCAGGGGCAAGGATTGGCTCAAAGAAATAGGGCACAAACTGGCTCAGTTCGCTTGAAGGGAAAATATATTATGCCCTAATTGCCATAGTAGATATGATTACTTTGGTTTGCGAGCATAATTCGTTCTAGAAACAGACTACTCGTATTGCAAGGCATCATTCGTTTACCATGTTAAAATGTATTAGATATGTTTGCTCGTATTACGGAACATTCCCAGACCATGTTACTCGCAATCCAAGGTTTTATTGTATATTTATTTTAGGGAAAATTGAGATACACTGGCGAAGCGCTTCAGCTGAGCATATCCAGCTAGTTAGTGAGGGACAGGCCAGGATTTGAGCCTGAGCCTCTGGTCTCTCGCCCACATAGCGTCTGAGTATAATGTTTGAGTTAGTTATTTTTAAATAGTTTAAAACTATAGAGAAGCATTAACTCAGAAAGGCTATTATTTTATATACTTTGTTTTAAATTAATTTTGAATTTTGAAAGGTTATAAAAATATACTTGTTGTTGTAACACCTGTATATTCACATTACCCTACTATCCAAAACCAATAGAAACTAACAAATTTTGTAGTCAGACCTTTTTTCCTTAACTGGATGTTATATTTGGAGTTAACATGATAAGAGTGGGAACTATGCATTCAATCTAACGTGACGTTATTAAGTTCTATCTGTCCCCAACTCTGCTGGCATTTTTGCTCAAGCATTGTTTGCTTTTAGTAACTGTTGGCCTATGCCTTGTACCCTCAAGACACAATTTCAAGATAACTGAAAAATGTGTATCGTGATTTTAAAATGACATAAACCAACAAAAATCCCAGTGTCTGTGGTGTGGTTAAGATGGGTAAGACATGAACTCACCCAAAATTGATAGGTGTTTTTAAAATTTAAATTATAAAGCGAGAGTTCCAGAGAATGGAGGGCCCCGAAGTGCCTCAAGGCAGTGAAGCGTGAGGGCAAGGCTTTTGGCTTTTGACCAGATTTGAACTGTGGCATGCTGCTTTCCAGGGGACCTCACATGAAGCCTCACTTTTTTTTTTTAATTAATGTTTATTGGGGTGACAATGTTACATAGTCAATGTTACATAGGTTTCAGGTGTACAATTCTGTAACACATCATCTATATGTCACATTGTGTGCTCACCACCCAGAGTCAGTTCTCCTTCCATCACCATGTATTTGATCCCCTTTACTCTCTTCTACTATCCCTCCTCCCCCCTTACCCTCTGGTAACCACTGAACTATTGTCTGTGTCTATGAGTTCTGTTTCTTCATTTGTTTGTCTTGTTCCTTTGTTGCTTTCAGTTTTATATCCCACATATCAGTGAAATCATATGGTTCTCGACTTTTTCTGTCTGACTTATTTCGCTGAGCATAATAATCTCAAGATCCATCCATGCTGTCGCAAATGTCAGTATTTAATCTTTTCTTATGGCAGAATAGTATTCTATTATGTATATATACCACCCTCACATTCCTAATTGTGTCACGGGTGTCCTGGTTGTTACTAATATCAAGAGATGGTGTGTGTAAGGAGCCCTGCGCAGCGTCTCCTGCCACAGGTAGCGGGCAGGTGCCTCCCCAGCTCTAGTCTCTGAATCAGGCAGGTGGCCTTGACCAAGGCCGCAGACCTTGGTAACACGCCCAGCTCCAAGGCCTGTGTAACACAAATGCTTTGTAATGTGCATTTGATGATGCCCAGCAAGTCAAAATTTTTAAGCAAAGCAGGACTTTTTTCTCCTTTTATTAGCGGATGTCTTTCGTGAGTCAAAATAGGTGTGTGAGTAATGGTTTGTTGAACTTAGATAAAATAGCAGGTCTGTCAGTGATTTTTAAACTACAAATGTGAAAATTACCAAATGATTACCACCTCCCCGGTAAAATTGGCTAAGGGTTACATGAAAATTTAAAGCTGAAAACAAAGCCCTGTGTTTTGAAATCTTGTTTTTACAATTACTTTTACAATCTTACTTAACTCCCTTATTACCGATTGCTTTTGGAAGTAGATACTGGGTGGTGTCCTCACCATCATTGCTACTTCTATTGGGTTGTCCCGAAAGTCATGCCACACTTTTGCATTGAAAAACATAGAAAAATACGTCATGACTTTCCCGGCGACCCAATATGTAAAGACTTGGCCCAGAGAAAGTAGAACCAAATAGCTCCAACTTCCCACCAGGTTACTTTTTTTTTTTTTTTTGAGAATTTTGGCATTCAATTCATAATTACTTATTAGCAGGGATTTTGATTTAAAAGAAGATACATTCTAAAGAGTTTTATATGTTTGCTCTTGCTTTAATTATGAAAACTATTATTCAGTTTTCTAAAATTGGAGCAGATACAGAAGATGTGCATTTCATAGTGTAATTAAAGTATGTTTTCAAGCAAACAAGCTTTAGGTATGTATATACTACTCATGCAAATCAAGGTTACATTTTCTAATGTTATGAAACCAGCTTTGTTAGTGCCCATGATTCTGACTTTCGTGTTGGCAGGAAAATAGAGGATTAAGGCAGATTAGAGTGTTGGGATAATGTCTGACTCCCGAGTTCTCTGCGCTCGCACATGAAAATTCTCCGAATCTGAATGTTACTATGGTGACATTAGCAAAAGCTTGAGTTTTCGATTGGTGTTGAGCTTGGTACAGTGCCTGTTGGAGTAACAGATGAATCTGTCATCTTCTGAATCAGTGTGTTGGGCCAATGCTGACATCACTTGGATGTTTTAGGTTTCTGGGGCTGCAGATAATCAGTGTCCCTTCATAGTGCTACTAGTAGGCACGGAGTACACCCGAGAGGCCGGAGAATCTGTGGCGAAGAGTGCCATTCTGGGGTTGAATAGAAGTAAAAGCAACATTATTATAGCTGCCATTTATTGACTCGGTCTTGTGTTCCAGGCCCCATGCGAGGTGCGTTATTACGTTATCCCTAATGCATTGAAATGGCAGTTATTTCCATAGCGCTGCTGCCACTTGCTCTCTGAGTTGATGGCCTTAAGTAGAGCACTTGGGCTCCCTGGACTGAGATGCCCACTACTTTCAAACAGGGACGGTCTCTCGCTGATGTTTGAAAGAAGAGCTCTGAGCTCCGTGAGATGAAAGGTGTTACTGTTTTTATGGGAACGGCACATTTTTTACATTCTTAAGTCTAGAGGCACATATTTGGCTTCTGTCTTGATCCCAAGAGTGGTTGTCTGTCAATGACCAGTGAGTTATTTTCACATATCAAACGTACAAGGTGTTTGAATGAGGGTGCTTTATAGTGACAATACTACTCTTTTTATTTTAATATTAAAATTTGGGGGGTGGAGATTATGTTGTTGTTAATGGGGGTGGTGATGATATTCTTCCCCTGGGAAATAACATACAAGGTTTTACTAAGAGTTGCTACTTGTGGAGTGTGTTGCGGGAGGGGGAGTGGGGGTAAGGAAGAATCTTAGGAATTTTCCTTATACTTTTTTCTTCTGTTCATTTCTAGTCTTTATAACCTGGCTTCACTGGAACTGAGAGAGAATCTTCTTACATATCTTCCTGAGTGAGTCTGGGGAAAATGAGAGGGGATTTTGTACTGAATGAATTTCTTCAAGCATTAAAAAAAAAAAGTACGATAGTATTTTGTCAAAAAGCAATTCTGTGTCATATAGAAAGCTTGGAAGATGGCAGCTTTCTCTTGATAGCCCATCCTATGCAATATTTACTGCATAAAACCCAAATTAATCTTATTTTTGGAAGTTAAAGTGAGAAATACCACATTGCTCAGCATTTCTGAGTACTAAGTTTTTTGTTTTTTTGGTTTTTTTTTTTAAAATAGCTCTCTTACCCAGCTACGGAGACTAGAAGAACTTGATTTAGGAAACAATGAACTATATAATTTGGTAAGTCTATATTGAAGGATGATTTGAATTTAACTTTTTCCTTAGTTATGATCACAAAATATTTGGGGGGAGCTCTGTAGGGATGCTTTTTTATAAACCAATATTTCCACATATATAGCTTGGCAACATTAAAGAATGTGCTACAGTTCACATGGGTTAAGAATGATGATTCATGCGTGAGAAGGGTCAGGACTAGAGATGACGGGCATTGGTGGAAAGAACTGGCATTCTTGGAGAGTGGTGGGGGGTGGGGTGCTTGTAGGAAGGGGAGCTTGATATTAGAGAAATACCAACAAACATCTCCGAGGTACCCAATAGTTAACTGTTGAAATAGGATTCTTTCTTTCTTAATAGAAGACTTGGATCTTTGTTACCATAACATTCTTTTTTTGTTGTTTTAGCCAGAATCAATCGGAGCTCTCTTACATCTAAAGGATCTCTGGTTGGATGGCAATCAGTTGTCGGAATTACCTCAGGTGAGTGCTTAATTTCACGTTGTCCCCCCTGAAACATAAAACAACAGCCACCACCCTCACGTGTTCCTTGCTTCTGTGTGAAATTTTTTTTTTTTTAAAGATTTTTATTGGGGAATTGGGGGGATGGGAACAGTGCTGGGGAATTGGGGAAAGGGGAACAGACAAGTTGCTGTCGTTTTGTTCTTCAATCTAGTTGTGGAGGACGTTGCTTCACTGGCCCAAGTTGGCACCATCATTGCGCTCTTCCCGGGTGAGGCAGATCGGTCGCCGGCTTCTGGACGGCCGCTCACTGCGGCTGCTGGCCGCTCACGCTGGCTGCTGGCCACACACGGTAGCCCATGGCAATCCACTGCCACAGGGACTGCAGCCTACGCCGTCGCCGGCGACTCACGGCAGCCCAGCTCCAGGTTGAGCTGTTGTTCAGCATCTTAGCTGTGGAGGGCAGTGTCACTGGCCCTCATATGTGGGATCCGAACCGGGGCTCTCTGGCATCCCAAGCGAGTTCTTAACCATCGCGCCACTCGGCCGGCCCTGTGTGAAATTTTTTATAAAAGAGATTTTCAAAACCAAAAACATTGGTTGAAAAAGCACATTTGGAAAAATATATTGAGCATTCATCATGCTATATGGCCGTAGAAAAACTGAAAGCCTCAATCCACAATTTCTAAAGGAAGTAAATGTATCCTTTAGTTTGTGAAGTCTTCATGCTTGCTACCCATAAGGCTTACTTCAAGGCCAGCAAATCTGTAAATTGCCAGGACCCCTGATTCTGATGGTATATACATTTATGCCACTCTTTATGATGTGCCAGGTGCTTTGGGATAATTTTGACCACATTTTGCCCTGTAATAATTGATATAAAAGCAATGTTAAAAGTTTTTATTTAATCTTTATTTTAAAAGATTGCTTATGGTGTAGCTGGAACATCGTGGTTTTCAGGTTTTCCCTACTGTTGCCAAGTGTGAGAATCGTGTTCCAAGTGAAATGGAGCCTTGTATAGACTTCTCACCACATAGTTGTCTTGTGGACTCCCAGTAAGCAACCCTGCCTTCTGGTTAGTTGAGAGAGAAACCTAAACAAGCAAAAAAACAACCACAAGTGGGAATTTTCCTCTTATTTTGTTTTTCTCCCACTGTCACTGAATTTTATTCTTTGGTGTATCACACAACCAGTCTTTAAAGCCAGAATATATTTCATTATGGTCTAGGTGCTTTTATTTTAAAGTAATTCAGATGGTGTCTCTGCTCAGCTATGTGAACAAGTTGTGATGGCCTGTGCGCTTCTGGTGGGGAATGCCATATCAACACAAGGAGGTCTACAACTCTGTTAGTGTTAAAGTACTTTAGTAAAGTATTACAGTAAACATTTAACTGGAATTTCCATGACATCGCTTATGACTGATGGAACTAAGGAACTAATCTGAATCTATTTCTGAGATCTAGGCTACATTCAGGAAAAAGAAAGGACAGACCAACAACCGATACGGGTGAGGGTCTGATTAATACTTAGATTTCTCTAGAAAATTACGACAAATCCTGATTGAGAGAATTCTGGTTACTTTAGGAGTCAAAGGGTTGGGAAAGATACCAGCAAGTTATATGGAAAGTAATAAAGTATCAGCTATTATACATGAAGGGGGAAGAGTATATGTGTGTGCAGATGTGCATAAATGATTAACGTGGAGAATGCCACATCCTAAACACAAAGAAATTAAAATGCCAGTGATCATGTTATAAATGGCGATTTAAACATCTCATTTGCTTCTCTTGTATAAACTCCCGTTAAACCAGGACTAACCACATCAGACCAGCTCAAATAATCAAAATTATTATTTTTTCCTTGATGAAAGAAAGAAAAGGATATAACAACATTGTTAAAAAGAATTAATGAAAAGGTAGAACATCTTCAGGGACCTGGCATGGAATTAGTAGAAATGTAGTCTGGTTTGCTACAGATGGGGAATATGGGGTGGGGAGTCGTAGGAGATAAGCTGGAAAGAATAGATCAGACCAAATTAAATACAGATTGAGGAATTTGTACTTATGTAGACATCAGGGAGCCATGAGACTTTTTTTGAGTCGAAGAGGTGGTCTGATTACATGACTAGAACTGGCCCTATTTCCAGGAGGGAAACATGGAAGCACAGTCTGTAGAACAGACTTGGGTAGAGAGAGACCAAGAGGCAAAACTAACAGTCCAGATGAGAGGGTAACGAGAGAGTGGGAATTTAATGGGGCAGCAGTGGAATGGGAAAGTGGAAGCAGTCAGAACAGAGAAAATAGGCATTTTGTGAGTGGAAGGTAAGATAACTCTTGAATAGACTGTTAGACTCCTTGAGGTACTTTCCCCACTCCTGGGTAGACTGTTTTCCTTAAAAGCAGTATGCTTCGGGGCCGGCCGAGTGGCTCAGTTGGTTAAGAGCTCGCTCAAGAGTTTGAGCTCTGAGCAATAGCGGTTCGAGTCCAGCCCAAGCTGAGCAGCCGCTGAGCTGCCAACAGGTAGCAGGATGGCTCAGCTTAAAAAAAAAAAAAAAAGCAGTATGCTTCTGTTTTCTGTTGATGTTAAGTGTGTCAGTGGGTCTATGGGTCCAGTTTTGCTAGGAAGCAACTGTATTGATGTTTGTTGTAACAAGCACTATCTTTCACAGGAAATAAAAAGTAGATGGTTTCTTAACAGAGAAAGTCTCAGGGTCATGCTGAAGTGTGTAAGCTGGTTACTAAGTGATTGGTTACAAACTTGGAGAACTGGATTCTAGCCTCCTTTCCGCCCCCCAATTTGTGTGACCTGAAAGGCAATGTGTTGTATCTTGGTATCTATCTCTTCATCTGTTAAGTGAATGATTCTTTGCTTGCCTGGAGTTGGAGGGCTTGGCAGCCCTCCCAGCTCCGTGTCTGAAATTCATGCAGCTTCCCGTTTTCATTGGAAGGGGGTCTGGAAATTCACTCCTGCTTTCACATTTAGATGAAAGCTAAAGAAACATGCTTAGGACTGCTTTGGGATTTGATGGCGAAATATCACTGTAACAAATTCCTCTGTACTATGGCAGGTTTAAGCATGAGTTTCTTTTTCTATGTCATTAACGTAGGAAATAGGAAATCTGAAGAACCTGTTGTGCTTAGATGTCTCTGAAAACAGGTTGGAAAGACTTCCTGAAGAAATCAGTGGCCTGACTTCATTAACGGACTTAGTCATTTCCCAGAACTTATTAGAAACAATTCCGGATGGCATCGGTAAGTGCTGAAACAACTAACTACTGAAGGTGCTGGCTTTTGTCTCCAGTGTTTGGAGGACACTCTGATCCTTCGGTCACTGCTCTCAGGTGCTGGGGATGTGGCACCTTTAGTCTCCTTGTTGCTTTTTGTTTGTTTGTTTTAAAGAAGGAATGCAAAGAATATTTAATACAATTTCAGTTTCTCTATATGCAAGTATTTCTGTTGCCCTGGTTTGGCAGCAATTATAGGTATTATTACTTGTAAGCGTTGATTTATATCTATTTCATTCGCATCTTGTTTCTGATTTTGGCAGGGATTAGCTCAGCTCACAGAATGTGTTTCAGGCATATGAGCAATCGCTAAGAAGTTTCTGATTGAGCATCCTAAGTAGTTTATGAGAAAGTAACTTTGACCTAATTGCACAACCTAGGGAAGGACTGTTAAAAAAGAGAATGGTATATCGGAGTTGAGCCTTTTCTGGTACGTTGCGAATAATCTTTTATGTTAACCATTCTATGCTATTTCTGAGTGTGTGTTTCCTTGTTTTAAAATTAGTCCAGGCATTTCCTTTACCATAAAGGAATTCAGTCCAGTTTGAGAAAATAAATGGAAGCAGAGAGGGTATAAACAAACATGGACTGGCAGCTCCACCAGAGCAAAGCTGCTTGGAAGTTCTCAGAAGCTATATTTAACTATATAGTTGTCATAGGATTGCTGTCTTTGACCTTCATTTAACTTCTATTCAAAATGTCAAAGGAGGTTTTTGAAAGAGCTTCAGTACTTGGAAAAGCTGCATGACAGAGGACCACTTCCTTTCTGGTTTTTGGTCAAGATGCAAGTGGTAACCGATAGTAGCAGCTCAGCAGGCCTGTGGACATTGCCTTTTGGCTAAGGCTGGATGGAAAGTTGATGGGGATTTTGACTGTAGGTAGAGAATCATATATGGCATCCGAAAGCAATTGTAGGAACTGGGGATGCTTTGTTTCATGGAATAGGAAGAAATAGGAGGCAGCAGATGGCTGACGTCAAGCATTTGAAAGGCTGTCCTGGAGAAGGAGAGGTAGAATTATACATCTTCCAGTTCAAATGGGTAAAACGAAAGGATTTTACATCTCAGTTTGGTTTAAGAAAGAGCTTTAAAAGACATATTTGTTACAAATCGGTTAGGGCTGCTTAGTGAAGAAATGAGTGTGCTGTCACCAGAAGTATTCCAGGGGAGGCTGCGAGACCACTTGCCAGTAATATGGTTAAGGAGGCTTCTCAGTTGGGGTGAGATGTGTCAGGCGTGCAGTTCAGTGTGCCTGCAGAGAATGCCAAAGTGCCTCCTGACAGTGAGGACAGGTGGAAGCCCTCTGGCGACAGTGTTAGTAGGTTATTGATTATGCTAAATAATGAGCTTAAGTAGCGGTTTGTTTCTCTGGTTTGTTTCTCTGCTTTGCCCCATAGGGCCACAGAAGGCCAATTTATCTTTTCAGCATTTCCCTTTCTCCAGCTTGATGCCTCTTAAGATAGAGGCTGCTTTCTGCTTTCCCTGGGGAAAGTGTGACATGCCAGCCATTCTTAGTAGATACTAAAGGACATCTGCTCTCTAGCCTCCCTCTCTGAGCAGTAGTTGAAAATGAGGATCTGAATGATTTAGGATTTCCTTCTTTCCCTGGGGCCTCTGAGGAGGCTGCACTAAACCCATTCTTCTCTTCCATGGCTGGAGGGCATCACCGGTAAGTACTGTCCTTCTGCCCTGAGTGAGATAGACTTAGTCCCTAATGTGGCTTCTCAGATTACCATCTTACTCTGCCTATATAGAAATAACTTCATTATAGGGATCTTCACTGCATCACTTTCATTCATAGGTCATAGAATAAAGTACACTTTATTGTTTTTTGGTTTTAGTAAGGATGATTCTTGGAGTAAGATGAAAGCCTCTCTCCTCTGGTCTCGAACCGTCTCCTGTTTTTAAAGATCCATTAAGAGCCAGCTGTTTGTTTTTCCTTAAAGTTTCTGGCTTGGATATGATATTTTTAGGTAGTGGCTTTTAAAATGACTTGCTTCTAATTGCTGGCTGTTTTTGATGTTCTGAACAAATTATTTTAACTCTCAACCTTGAGTGATCTAAATGAGAATGATATATTGGGTTGTCGGAAAAGTCATGATGCATTTTTGCAACGAAAAACATAGAAAAATACGTCATGACTTTTCCGACAACCCAATAGTTTCATAATATGAAAAGCTGGGTGAGAGAAAAATGAATAACTACTTAAAACAAAAAAGAACAGCAGATAGGATGATTAGGAAAACAATTGTAACTAATGAGTTTAAATAATGCTTTTACAGGAAAATTAAAGAAACTGTCGATCTTGAAGGTGGATCAGAACAGACTAACACAGTTGCCTGAAACAGTTGGGGACTGTGAAAGCCTCACTGAATTAGTTCTTACAGAAAACCGGCTCCTGGTGAGTGTGGCTGACACATTCAAATGGCTATTTATAGTGTGGTTTCTCTATTAGAAAGACCTATTAGGGTAGGTTCTACTTTTTTGTAATTTGAGTGGACTCAATGGAAATTTCCTTTTGCTACATCTAAAAACAGTGACTTGCGAAGCACAAACGTGGCATGAAGATGATCGTTTTTTAACCTGCTTAAGTGAAGGAAATGGTGTCTTAAGTTCCCCTCTCAGAATGTATATGCCGCTTATGGTGCTTACATTACAGGGAAGGAACCGACACCTCAAGGGGTCCTCAATGAGGTGTAGGGATAAGCCAGTGTCAGATGTGCCGATGCCTCTGCCATGGCATCCAAGGACCGCCAGGGGAAACACTGTTCTCTCTGGGTTCTTTGAGCACATGGGAGGAGTGGGAGACAAGTGGAAGAAATGGCTATTGGCCAGAAAAAGCCTTGGTGGGACTAGGGGGAGGAGTGTCTTTTGGGAGAAGACAGAGAGTGATATCTGCTGGGCTTTGATCTGTGATCTCACCCCATCCTAGAAATGGGGGGGGGTGCGGTGAAGGTGACTGTAGGCGTCCCGCACAGGACCAGGCTTCCCTTCCTACTGAGGGCAGAGGCCTTGGCGTGCACCACCTGCAGGGTGGGTCCGCAGGGGGACGCAAATCTCAGTGGCCTCCTCCCTTCCTGCTGCCACCTCTGCTTGCATCAGTCCTTAAGTTGTCACTTCATCTTCTCCTTTCTCTCCTTTTTTAGTTGTCACCACTACTTTTTCTTCACTTTACTTTCCTACCTTTCTCTTCTTTTTGCTTGTCTTCGTTTTGTCACTTGATTTTTTTACCCTTCTCTTTGTTCCTTCTTTGTTCCTTTGTTTCTCCTTCTCTTTGTTCCTCTTTCTTTTTCTCTTTTCTTTATAAAAAGCGTGAGTAATGCTCTATAGGCAGAAAAGAGCTGAGAAAGACAGCAAGCCCCTCTCCTCAGACAGCTCAGGCAGACCCCTCAGGCAGGCATGATGGAGGTGGCCAAATCCTCCTGCCCTAGGCTGTGGTTTTAGGTTTACAAACAGTCATCGTAACAATTTTAAAAATAGCATTCACCCTTGAATTTATGAGAGTGTTGCAGACCCCCATGTGGGCCCATACCTGGTTCCTGCCGGGTCCTGGGCTCCCCACGCCAGCCCTTGCCATCACGGCACCCCTGCTCACGGTTCTGCTTACCTGCCCAGCACGCTGACTTCCATCGTCACCTAAGGCTGCCATCTCAGTGTGGCTTTTCCAAGGTGCAGGCAGGGAAGGGAGGAGGGTCTTTCAATTCTCACTTTCTTGTGTTGAAGAGCCTCCATTACCTCTTTACTAGGTGTTTCTCTGTTCCCAACCAAAATGCAAAATATTTCACTCCACATTCCCCAAATGAGCTTTACAAATATCTGATATTTAGGAAGATCTATTACTTCTGTTGTTGGGTGAGATTATATTCTTTAAGCCTTTGTAAAGATCTGTTTTACTGTGAGCCATGTTAAAAATATGTATTAATAATAAAAAATGTTATTTTAACAGACCTTACCTAAGAGCATTGGAAAGCTTAAGAAATTGAGCAACTTGAATGCAGACAGAAATAAATTAATGTCTTTACCAAAAGAGGTATGTGCTTTTAAAAAATAATCAAATGCTAATTGTAAAGAATTAATAATATACAAGGGATCAAAACTGTCAAATACTTTTAAAAGACTTATGTGGTGCTTTTTAAAGGTATGAACTCTCATCTGTAAGTATAGAGATGGTTGGAGAAATTATATCAAAGAGTGATCATCAATAACATTAAGAAGAGTAGGTGGGTCTCTTTCTTTTAAGAGAGAGATTGATGTTTCAGGCTTGACCCACAGAAAGTGGTGACACCATTGACAGAAATAGGTGATTTGGGAGTTTGGCAGAGAAAGTGGATGACTTTGGGTTTGACTGAGTTTAATGTGAAATTAAACTGCCCCATAAGCCATTGAAATTATAAAATAGATCTTGATGCAACCCTGTTTCTGGGCAGAGACTGACTGGGCAGCCTTCACATCCGGGAGAGAGTGAATGAACTTTTCACAAATGCATTCACATGGAGGAGGGCAAATGGAAAGCTACTGCCAGATTCGTGGGGTTTTTTTATGTGTCAGTGCTTCAAGCAGGAGAAAAGACAGTAGCCGCCCATGGTGGAGAGCAGCTCCGTGGCTTAGAGGCATTCACGCCCCGGCAGGGAAGTGAAAATGCTGAGAATGAGAAGGAAGCCCCCAGCAGATCAAACCAGGATGGGTCTAGTGTGCTGTTTACAAAGAAGGCTTACTTTCTGTTTGGAACTAGGAGAACTGGATTGGAGATGGGTAGTACTGAGCTTGAGTTTTTATTAGCAGTATAACATAAACCTAAGTTTAAGCCACCTTTTTTCCCCTTTCTCAAATGTTAGTGAGTTCCCCTCCCCTGTGTCAGGGCCTCGCATTAAAAGGTGTGGTATTGTATGATGTGATCACTGGCCAGGTGCCATCTCCTTTGTATTTCTCCATTTGACCCTTTCCACCATGTGTCTTGGAATAATTTCAAAGCTGCCATCCAACCAGCCAGAGCTTGAGGGGCTCCTATTTTCCTAGAGTACTTCTCAGGGTGTCGGAACGTGGCCTGGTTTCTTCTTTCTTTCCCTGATCTTGGTGCTCTGGCCTCCTTGTCCCAGTCTGCTCCCTGGGTAAGACGGCCAGCACTCCTGAATGGAAGTAGGGGGATATTTCTTATAAATGTGACCGTGTTCTGATACGTCCTTAATCTGAATACTGGCATCGAAATAAATCTGTTTCTAACAGAAAATCTACATCTCTGCTAAGCTGGGACACAGCTAAGAGATCCTGATAATCAAAACATCTTGGTTCCAGTCTCTAAGGGATGAACCAAAACACAGAGCTGAACATTATTCTGAATATTAATTTTACTCTTGTTGAATAGCACATGTGGATGGGTAATCGACTGGTCACATATACACGGGCACGGAGAAGGCGCAGAGGTGTATCACGCTCTTGCTCAATGCCTCCTCTACTCGGTTGCTTTCATGTTCACTTGTTGAATCCTCACAACAGCTTTTGGGGACCGTGAGGATTTCCTCACTTTGCAGATAAGGAAATAGGCCAATGCGCAGCTTTCCTCACCAGGACTCGCACAGTAGCTGGGAGTGGGCAGGACTGGGCTGCAAAGATGTGTCTCCCAGCAGCCAGCTCGCTGCCCTTGGCACTGCCCAGTAACAGCGTGGCTACTCAGCTGGTACACATTCAGCCGACCTTTCCATCTGTGTGACCTTGAAGTACAGCAGGACCTTGATTTGGTAAAGAAAGGTCAAACTATCTTTAGTTTGGACATATTAGAAAGTTAATACATTTTAGGACTATTTTCAAGGTAAATGCCAAAGGGAACCCTTCTGATCGTAATGGCAGTCCCCAGTTTCACCACCCACTGCCAGCTTTTCTCTCCCTCTCTTTTGATTCTTTCAAAGGAACACATTCTAGACAGGAACTTTAGAATTTTATTTTTGTAAAACTATCACCATCATTTTAGCATCAGTCCTGTTTCACTTTAAAAGAATGAAACTTATACTCCATGTGTCTTTTAAGAGGCTTATATCTAGTGCGTGCCGTGTGTCTGCATAAATTTATTAGAAACAGCTTTTCGTGATTTGAAAAGTGAAAGTATTGTGAAAACATTTCCAGCTTCAAAGCATTTTAGCAAGCTATCACGTTTTATCCATTTTCTGAGAAATTCTGATTGGTTTTCTGGCATCGAGAGTTTGGTGCAGGAATAAAGTCTCTGCCTGTTCCTTCAGCTGTCTGATAAAGCAGAGACTGTTTAGGCTTTTAGGAGCTGGATCTTTTCTAGCACACCTTCACTCCTACTCACACACACTCAGCTTCCAGAGTAGGAAATGCACTGAGCACATGTCTCCAATTCTGCTGCGGGTCACAAATTGGTAACCAGCAGAAATGGTTGAGTGCCTGCCTCTGACCATCAGGGCTGAGCTGCCAAACCACTGAGGGCCTCCTGACCTCGAATTGCGTCATGTTGGTCTGGGCAGCACCGTCATACTATGAGTCTCTGTGCAGTGAACGTGGTAGGCCATGTATGCACACGCGCGCACGCGCGCGCGTGTGTGTGTGTGTGTGTGTGTGTGTGTGTGTGTGTGCGCGCACGCGCGCACGCGTGTAGGGGAGGCTTATGCTCAGGGACCATGTGTATGGACTCGCTCTGCCTCCAAGCTTGATACCATTTGATCAAATCCTGCACTTTCCTGTTTGGATTCTTTTCTTTCAAAACTTTATTACTTTCTCTTGAACAATTATGTTGCATGCATGACATATCTCAACAGAAATGCTGACCAATTCAATTTATATGCCAAAAATCCATAGTTGTATCGATTGCCATTGGTCTGGTGTGCTGTGTAGCTCTTCCCATTTTTCTGTCTTTTTTTTAAACTTGAGAGTACTGTACAGTGTCAGTTTTATAGCATAGCTTCTTAGTCGATAGCAGCATTTAGTTGCATTTTTTTTCCAAATTGTTGAGGGGAAAACGTTTGTATTGTGTAGGTCACAATTATAGATTCTGTGTGTTTTGTGGTGTTACTTGTAGTAAACATTTGCAAATCAATGAATGTCTCTTGTTTTCTTAATTGTTAGCTGCTTGGAAATTTAGCAAAGTCAGGTAAACTTGCTATCTTGTAAGTATTCTTCAGACCCCAGCTGCGTCTCTAACTTCCATTTGCTTCGTAAATGCATGAAGATTCAAATCGGCTGACTGCTTTGTGTGTATTTCATTGTAAGATATTGGACATTTTCCTCTAAACTCAGTTCTTTTTTTTGTTTTGTTTTTTGTTTTTAAATGACTGCATGACCTTATTTTGTTAAGTGTTTGTCAGATTTCTTCAGATTATTCTTTCTCAAAAGAATTCTTTTCTGTGAATTACATTTTAAGTTTTCAGAAACTCTGAAAGGCATAACTTGGCAGCTCATCTGTCTTTTCTAAATCCTAGTTTGTTGGCACGATTCTGTCTCTAATGGAAAGGCTAGATGTGCTTTATATGCTACATGTGGCATGCTTCTGATTTTTTCAAACAACTCATTTGTATCTTTTATTTCTTGTCCTGTTGCTTAAGTATGTATGCTTGTGGGGAAAGGAGGCTCTCTAAAAATCTCCTGTTTTTGTGGAGGGAAGAATTGAGGAGGAGGCTGTGTTGTAGTGTGACTCGTGGAGAGACAGGGAGCTGTTATATGTATGATCATGGGTACGATGAAAGACAGCCAATAACTTCGTATAATAATATTCTCCAGCCAAATGTTAGCTTTAAACAGCCTGGACCCTAACAAGTTTCTGGTGGGAAGAAACTAAGCACATTTCCAAGTGTAGACTCCAGTTTTTTGTCTCCATTAAATCAAAATGAAATGACCCTAACTACATTACAACTATTCAGTCAAATGAGACATATAGGATTTGCAGACCATTTATCAAAGCTTTTTTTTTTTAAATCAGGCAGTCTGTAAACATTAACTACCCATAACTATTATTGTGATATTCAGAAATGCCTGTGGTGGTTGAGTATTCATTTTGTGGATAGCTTTCTACCTTTTTATTATTACAATTTAAAATCATTTTAGTGTGAGTTTCCATCATATTCTGAATGAATTATTGATAAATAAAAGAGACAATGTAAGTTAAAACCTAAAAATACTAGAAGAAAATGTAGCTGACTGTTGGATGTCAAGATGGAGAAGGCATTCCTAAGCATAAAAGAGGAAATAAGTCATAAAAGAAACAGTTGATGGATTTGTCTATATGAAAACTAGATTTTTGATCTTTAAGAAGATAGAGACAGCCCGGAGGCATGGGGACATTTACAGTGTTACAAATAAAGGGGGTCTCTCTTTATTCTATTTGAAATTCATTCACATCATTGAGAAAAAGATTGTTCCTACTATAGAAAAGTAGACAAAAATAAAAGCAAAGAACCCCCATACCCAGAACCAGGAAGTGATTTACAGAAAAAAAACAGAAATGGCTATAAATATGAAAAAATTTTAGCTCCATCAGTATTCACAGAGATGTTAACAAAAACATTTTGATCTATCAAATTGTCAAGATTAAAAAAAAATAATGATACCAAATTTCAGCAAGGGTACAGGGAAGTGCATATTAGTATGAAAGTATAATTTATTACGGCTTTGGGGGTAGGGACTATGGTAATATTATTAAAAACTTGAAAAATGTACGTACCCTTTGATTCTGCAGTTCCCCTTCTAGGACTTGTATCCTAAGAGAACAATTATGGGTATCCACGAAGAATGATGCACAGGAATATTTCTCACAGTAGATATGGGACCAGCTAACAAGTTCCAGGCAGCGTGCCGAGCAATCCAGGGGCTGCTAGCATGTGCCAGGCACTGTTACTTTCATGCTTATTCTCGTCTAATTTCCACAACAGCTTTGTGAGATGTTAGGTAAATCATTATCAATATCTATCAGATTGTGAAACTGAGACAGAGGGGTTAACTAACTTGCCCAAGATCACACAGCAAGAAATGGCAGAACTAACTAGCAGTGTGTAATATGGGTGGGTGATTTGTTAAGTAATCTGCGACACTCTGTAGAATGACATAGTTCCGTGGTCAGTAAAAATCCTTTTAGAAATAGAATGACATGGGAAAGCGTGCTTGATGTCATATGTAAGCACAGGTGCTAAAGATCAGAGTGTGGGTCCTAATTTTGTCTCAGTGTATATGTATAATCACAAATGCATGGTGAGAATTCTGAAAGATTGTACCTCCAAACGTTAAATACTGACAATCCTTTGTGGTAGAAGATTTGGCTTGAGTTATTTTCTCATTGTTCTATCATGTGTGTGTGTGGATATGTGTTTTTTATTTTCCAGTCAACGTAAGTTCCTTTTTTACAGTCAGAAAAGAAGAATGCCGTAGCTATTATTGGATATTTTTATGTCAGTGGCCCAACAATTCAGGGAGTCCCAAAGCCACATGATTTCCAAAGTATTTATGAAGTAGGGAACATTTGAATAATATGCCACAGATGATGCTGGAAAAGGCAAAAAATAGTTTTTCGTTTCTAAAATTACACATCATATTATTTCTGTTCAAATTGTGTTTTGACCAGTTTGCTTATTGTACGTTTTCTTTTTTGCCAATGATATGTGGGTTCACTTCTATTACAAATCATATCGAAAGGAAGACACCGAAGGCAAATCCAAGTGCCTTTATACTTAGGACAGGAATCCGCAAAGTGAAATATAGGTGGACAAAGGTAGGCTTTCTCATTGAATCACTGAATCTGTCTGATTATCTCTTCGAGGGTAATGTAACCTGCTGGCAATTAATACGTAGCGAAAGTCGACCTGACTAAAGGTGTGCTTAATGGACTGCAGGTCCCATCTCCTTGAGATGGATCAGATAGATCGGTGCCAAACAGGCAAGGACAGTATCACCTTGACTTAAAGAGACACAAGACAGCTCAACAAGGATACTCACTTATATTCTGTAATTCTCAGAGGATCCACGTCCAATCCTTTGTGTTCTGGGAAGGTGCTATTATGTGCTTTCAGGGAGGTTTAAAAATACCAGCTTCCTACAGTACAGTAACATAAGTTATTTAAACAGAGGCTCTGCTTCCCAGAATTTCTGAGTGATACCCTGATGGCCACTAAGGAACCTGTAAACTCTGCTTCCTGAACCCAAAAGAGAAAGCAAAAATACATATGAATGATACGTATAATACAATACTGAACTCATGTCAATCTTCACTGGTGTTTACACATGTCACTGTGATACATGGTCAGGGAGACAGTTTTTTCAGAATCCAGGTGGGTTCAGGGAAATGCTTGCAGGATCAGCACAGAGCCAACAGCAGAGTAGGCACATGTGTGCTGACTGAACCTCTCATTTGGGTGTGGGATCTTCACTTCATGGAGAAACAATAGCTACCACATTTGTTTGGCAGCAGCAGTAGACAGGTTCTATGATAGGTGCTAAATTATACTTGCGGTTTCATTGAATTTAATCCTTATTGTTACTTTTGGTTAAAGTAATATATTAAATAAACCCACAAACCGTATGACCGAGCCTACATTCTCACCCTGGTCTGTGTGTTCTCAAAGCGTGCACTCCCTCCATTGCACCTCCTTCCTCTCTGACAACTGTAAAGAACTGTACCTTTTGAGTTATGGTTTGGAATGCTTAATAATCTTTTCTAAAAGCCAAAGGTTTGGGCCATCCCTTCCTGGCTGGTTTGGAAAGAGGGCTCTGGTTGTGTGTGTGTCTGCCTGGGACAGCGTGTGCCCCTGGCTGGTGGTGAATGCCGAGCAGCACACGCTCTGTGTTGGCAGTGTTCTCCAAAAACCATAGACAATAGAGGTCAGGAGGCGGCCCCGCCAGAATGCCTCAGAGGCCCTTGAATACAATTGCTTCCCACCCCTTGACACCGCACATGGGTGTGAGATTAGAGTGGGAAAGGAGAAAAGAAACAAATACACAAATGAGACTAAAAGCATAGTGGACAGATCACACACTCCATTGGGAGTTCACCGTGTTTCTCCCAAAATGCTTCAAAGATGTTTACTTGTCCAGAACTTTTATTGCTCCTACAACTTTTAGAGCCCTCTCTGATGCAGTTTTATTAGTTAATTAATTAACTCTTTTGAATATATAGTGCATGCACATGGTACAAATTGAAAATGTAGTAGTAGGGCCCCAAAACAGATATCCTCCAGGTGGCTGGCACAGTGGACAGTTTGGTGACAAAGTGCCCCAATTCACAATCCAGCTTTGGCTCTGTACACCCTCCAGGAGCCTGTTGTCCCATCAGGAGAGTCATGTATGTGACTAACTGATGTGACCTACTTTGCCTCCTTGGAGGAGGATGGCGGGGTTGGCGGTGTCCGCGCTGACGTGGAGGCCTCCTGCATGGCTTGCAGGCTCCACTGAACCCAGACCCCAGTGCAGGCACCCCCACCCCACATGGCGGGGGGCATTGCCTCCATGAGGATCTTGGGTATTCCGTCTCATGAGTAGGTCTTTGTTGGGATCATTTAAATTTATCAGAGAGAATCTAATCAAGTTGATCCTCCAAAGGTTCAGGGTTTTGATTTCTTTCCTTCAATGATATTCCTGGGCATCTGAGTGAAACTGACGATTGCCGTCATCAAGGGAGGGATGAATGCCTAGCCCCACAGAAGCTCCTGTCTCGCATCACTTTGTAAAACATAAGAGGGACCACTCTAGTGATTCTTACTAGGAAAAAAAGAAGAGTTTTGTGGTCTCCTTTGCTACACATAGATACAGGTAATAACTTGAAGCAGCAGTCTTTCACTAGTAAGTTAATAAATTTAAGTGTATGAACATACCTAAATGAGAAATGTTGGTAGGTAGATAGCCTACAGGTAAGTAGATAGGATGGTACTGTACTTGCCAAGTACCCTGATTGTATGTAAATATACAAATTAAATAGTAGCTCAGTTAAAGATCTGTCAGAGGGTTTGTATAGACCATAATTATGAAAGAAGTGCAGAGAGCAATGTATCAGTATGGACCATGGGGTCCTGGAAAGACATTATGGAGTAGAGGATGCTTAGCTAATTTTGGATGATTGGTAAGATTTAAAAAGACAAAAAGAAGAAGGGCATTTCTATGAGAAACAGTTGAACGAAAAATAGAACCTATATCTTAAGAGGACAGTGAGCAAACCAGTTTTGCTGAGATGGGTAATGTGAATACTGAGAAGTAAAGGGAACCATTTAAAAGCCTTTCTATATGTCTGGGTGTTTTCCAGGTGACCAGAGATGATCGTTAGTCCAGGTTTTCTTATGTATGTTTATTTTTCTCTTACGTCCATGATGATTAAATACTGTGGTTACAAATACTATTTCAAAATCTTTATATGAACTCCAAAGGGAAGACATAAGATTGTTCATAAAGGTAATTATGTAGCCATTTCATAAATATGCAGTCTGCTTTTTAAGATCTGCATATACCAAACACATACATAAGGAGAAAAGGGCAGAAGACATGTTCAGACATCAGTGAAGATGCAAGCCTTTTGCCCCTCCTTGAGTAGAAGGCTCTGGAGTAGTTTTCCATGTGCCAGAGAGACCTCAATAGGTTCCTTTATGAGCCTTTTCTAGCAGTCACTGTTAGTCAGGCCAGGAAGAATGTGGCGCTGTATGGCGTCTGCAGAGTGTTGTGTCTGGGATCCACTTAGGTTTTCACCCCCGTGGTGCAGCTTTCCTGACTGTAGAAACCACAACCAGTTTGTTCAAGGGAATCATTGGATTTTTTTGTGTTTATGTTCGTTGTTGAAGACCAGACTTAAACAAAGCCCAATTATCTTTGAATTGCTTGTCATTGTTTTTTTTGTTTTTTTTTGTTTTTTTTTTGTTTTTAGGAAATAATCAAATTTGGTTAGGTATTAACATATGCTTTTACCAGCAGGTCATAGCTTGAAGAGATTAATGTATGGGTTTACCAAATTCACACTTGGCTAAAATGTTGATTCTTTTTTTTCCACTGGTCAAAGGAAAATGAATTTACCAAATTAAGTTGTGAATGAAAGCTATTAAAAAATATTAGGTGGAAATTAATGTACTGTATCTTCTATCCCCTCCCCATTTTTACTTATGAATTGAAACACTGAGAACACTGAAGTTAATGGAATGAGCTGGTCTTCAAAGGTGTGTGTAAGAAAGTGTGTGTGTGTGTGTGTGTGTGTGTGTGTGTGTGTGTGTGTGTGTGTGTGAGAGAGAGAGAGAGAGAGAGNGAGAGAGAGAGAGAGAGAGAGAGATTTGGCCTAACTTTTGAAACTTGGATTTCTGAAACTCCCATATTACCAAATAATATTTTTCTGGACCTGTGTAGCTTGGTTAACATATTTAAAAGATGTAGTTGCATTAGATGGCAGTGGAAAATGATTCCTTTCCAGAATGAAACTTTTAAACTGTATTGTTTTTTTTTTTTTATTTAATTGAGAACATTTGTGTTTAATGTTTTGTAGAGATTTTTATGAACATATTAGACTACTCAGTGTTTCGTACGATTTAAATTAATCATAGTTGGTCATCAGTGAGACTTCAAATCATGTGGTTTAATTTTATGCATTCTTTTCATGCCATTTGATAAATAGGATACTCCAGTCCCACCCCAATCTCCCCAAAAACCTGGAAAAAAGATGTATTTTCTTTCCCATTATAGATTGGCGGGTGCTGCAGTCTCACCGTGTTCTGCGTGCGTGACAACAGACTAACTCGGATACCTGCCGAGGTGTCTCAGGCGACAGAGCTCCACGTTCTGGATGTGGCAGGGAACAGGTAAGCATGTCTGGGTTTGCTTTGCGTGAGAGAAAGAAATAAATGTTCATGTGTCTTTGCCATCTTGCCTCACTCCTTCTTACAGAATATATACCGATTAGTCAAATGACCTGGGCCACAGAAAGTGTTTAGTCTAGGCGCCGGCGTGGCTGAGCCCAGGGAGGGGTGGAGGGCAGGGACAGCCCGAGCGTGGGGCACTTGACAGTTCAGGTGGGCGCTTCTGTAGTATAGTGAGCAGCAGTCCAGTGATGTAAGGGGAGGACCGCTGCCTGAGAGCTGGGAGACGTAGTTTCACCTCAGCTTTTATAACTGACTTTTCTAAGTCACTATGGACTTCACAGTTTCCTTCTCTGAAAAATGAGCTTGAATGAGTTTGAACTAGATGTGAACCAGGGTCTTGATTTGCTGTGCTGGTGACTCTGAGCCCTCGGAAATTGTAAACCCTCTAAAGGTTGTATTCAGGGGCACTGTTCTGGCCAGAGGATCCACAGCTTACGTTAGAATTGCCAAGTGATTCATAATTCAAAGAAAAGTGAAGAGACAGGTGTCCCCAAGGTCACAGCAGTGATATTTCTCAAGTTCTGGGGACAGAGGTGGCATTGGACTACTCATCAGTGTCTGGAATATGTCTTCTCTTCACCTTTATAGAGTACAGGTTTGTTTCAGCCACTCTGACCTAATGTCATCGCCTCACCTGTCATCTGCTCTGTCTTCCCCCGGAGCCCACACCAGCTGTTCTTTCTGCCTGGGACCCTCTCCTCTCTGTCCCCACTTTATTCTTCATCACTCATGCTTCTGTAGTCTCCAGGAGGCATTCTCCTCTCTGAGTCTGCATCTTTTAATTACCCCTCACATAACACTCACAGCGCCATAGGATAATTGCTTGTTTACACGTGTGTAACCCTCCTAAATCTAAAGTTACCTGAAGTTAGATATTACAGTTTATGTCATTGTATCATTTGTCCCTTCATGGTACCTGGCACATAATAGATGCCTGGTAAATATCTGTTCACTGAATGAAAATGTTGGTTTTGCGGGATGAATAGCAGGCCACTTCGAAATGCCTTGTATCACAGGCTTCATTGCCAAGAAGAATTAAAAAAAAAATGCTTTTGAGTATTATATAGTTAGATAGGAGAGAAGGCGCTAAACCAGGGAAAGATGAGCAATGATTTTAAACGGTGAATACCAGCGATCTGAAGGGTGTTTAGAGGATTGTGTCCTAAGTGCTGATGAGCTGGTCACTTAGGTCAGGCTCTTGCCACCATTTTTCATTCTCACTAATGGATTATAGACAGCAGTGCTAAATACACAGCGGTACTCAGCAGGGATCTGGGGGTGAGTTATGGCCTCAGGGACTGTTCACCTTTTTAAAGTAATGCTTTCAGGACATCTTGATGGATTCTTAAGACCACTAACTTGTGACTGAAAACTCAGGATTAATTTGAGTTGAATGGTGCCTTTCTGCTGGCCAGAGGCTGACGTGAGACTTACAGCTTGAGAAGGGTGGCTCTTTCTTGGCCTCTCACCTCCAGTGATGCAAACTCAGTGACTCCAAACCTTGCCTGGTTCTTGCCACACTGGGGAGCATGAATTTGCTCCACTAATTCTTGAGCAGAGAGACAGCTCGGATGTCTAAACACAGATTTTCACAAGAGTGAAGGCTCTACTCTTCAGCTCGCGGAAGAAGGGAGAGTTAGATTTTTATTATGCTTGGGCTGGGGTGGAGAAAGCCCAATTAAAAAGTCGAGTTGCATAGCTGTCATCTGAGTCAGTTAAGTGTGTCATTTAGTCCATGTATATATATATATATATATTCATAACTAAATTTTAAGCCTATTAAAATATATAATTGGTACTTATTTTAAAGTATCAGTATAGAAACTAATAAAAAAAAAAGGTGGGGGGGAGTGCTACCATGTCAGCTCTTTAGCTTGCGGAAATGTCACACCATGGGAAATCAGACTAAGTTTTCCGCCTCTTCTCTCCGCATATAAAAATAGCAAATGGCACAAGGAGACTACATCTTAATTTCCACAAACTTTCTTTGACAAGTTTGATAGGATAAATTACAAAAAGGATAACTATAAAATGCCACTTGGAAACTAAATATCAAACCTTCTAGTACAGTAATGGTGGAGGTGTCTGGTATCATCAGCTACCCATGGACACAGAATACATATTTCTTAAATTTTTAGACTCTCTTCTATAGGAATATCTACCAAATTCACAAAATTGGTTATTTGAAGATCTTCCATGCAGTATTAGTAGTACCAAATACTAAAAACAGTAGCTGTCAATGGGGAAATACTTTATATCTTTAAATTGTATAGTCCAAAAAATTAAATTAAACAATATTTTAAAATACCACCTCCTATCTGTTAGAATGGCTATTACCAAAAGACAAGAGATAACAAGTGTTGGAGAGGATGTGGGGAAAAGGGAACCCTTGTGCACTGCTGGTGAGAATGTAAATTGGTGTAGCCACTATGGAAAACAGTACGAAGGTTCCTCAAAAAAGTAAAAATAGAACTACTATATGATCCAGCAATCCCACTTCTGGGATTCAAAGGAAATGAAAACAGGATATGGAAGAGATATCTGGACTCCTATGTTCATTGTATCATTATTCACAATAGCCAAGATAGGGAAACTTAAGACTCTATCAATAGATAAATGGATAAAGAAGATGTGGGGTGGTGTGTGTGTGTGTGTGTGTGTGTGTGTGTGTAATGGAATATTATTATTGAGCCATGAGAAAGAAGGAAATCTTGCCATTTATGAAAACATGGATAGACCTTGAGGACATGAAATCAGTCAGACAGAGAAAGACAAATACTATATGATTTTATTTATATGTAGAACCTAAAAACGTTACACTCAACAATCTAAAAAAGTTGCACTCATAGAAACAGAAAGAAGAACAGTGGTTGCCAGGGGCTGTGGGGGGTGAGGGAAATGGGGTGATGTTGGTCAAAGGGTACAAATGTCTCGTTAAACGATGAATTAAGTTCTGGGGATCCAATGTACGGCACGGTGACTGTAGTTAATAGTACTGTATTATATACTTGAAAGTTGCCAAGAGAGTAGATCATTTTTTTTTTTTTAAACTTTACTGGGAACAGTGTGTTTTTCCCAGGACTCATCAGCTCCAAGTCAAGTTGTTGTTCTTCAGTCTTAGTTGTGGAGGGCGCAGCTCAGCTCCAAGTCCAGTTGCCATGTTCAATCTTGTTGCAGGGGGTGCAGCCCACCATCCCATGCGGGAGTCAACCGGCAACCTTCTTGTTAAGAGCACGGGCTCTCACCAGCCGAGCCATCCAGCTGCTTACCGACAGCTCAGCAGCAGCTCAGCTCAAGTCGTTGTCTTCAATCTAGTTGCAGAGGGCACAGTTCACTGGCCCATGTGGGAATCGAACTGGCAACCCTGTTGCTCAGAGCTCACACTCTAACCAGCTGAGCCACCTGGCCACCCCAAGAGAGTAGATCTTAAATGTTCTCACCATACACTAAAAAGAAAAAAAGTGACAATGTGAGGTAATAGAAATGTTAATTAAGCATACTGTCATAATCATTTCACAATATGTTGGGTTGTTGGGAAAGTCATGACGTAGTTTTCTATGTTTTTTGTTGCAAAAATGTGTCATGACTTTCCCGACAACCCAATATAAATGTATCAAATCATTATATTGTACACCTTACACAATGTTATATGTCAATTATATCTCAATAAAACTGGGGGGAAAAAAAGACAAAACACAATTAAGTGTAGCTATACTGTGGACTACTAAGTGGGTAAGAATTAGATATTTCTCTGTGTAATGACACAGGAGGAAGCACGTGATACTGAGGAAAGAGCAAGTGTGCATAGTGCTCTCATTTTTGTTTTATATTTTAAAAGAACTTCCCTGTGCAGGGCACCAAAATATTCGTAGCAGTTCCCCTAGAGGAAGGGTGGAGACCTGAGGTTACAGGGGGCTTTCACTTTAGACATTTGATATTGTTTAAATTGTTTCACAGATTAAATTCTTTATTTATATATATCTTTAAACATTTTTGAAAACTTTGCTTAAAACTGAAAATTCTAGTAGGAAGTAACAAACAGATGAAAGATTTAGTTGTAAGAAGTATGCAAGCATAGGTGAACTTAGTATTACATTAATCAGTAGGCCACATTTAGCTGTGAAATAAATTTGACAATGCAGTTTCTATAGTATTGGGTCATCGGGAAAGTCATGCCGCATTTTTGCATTGAAAAACACAGAAAAATATGTCATGACTTTCCCGACGACCCAGTAGTTCAGAGATGGACAAGGTCATTTTAGGTAGGGTTGATCATGGACATAACTGGAAATGAGAAGCTCATGTTTTGCTTATGCATTTGCTTTAATCCTTGCACCGTTGATGTAAATAGTAAGTGCAGGCCTTTTATTTCTGGGGGGGCATGTAGTCCTAAATAGAACATGGAGATGTGTATACATGGGGCTGGGGTTTCTTGTGTTGATTCTGTAATGTACAGAAGGCATTAGAATAAACCGAGAATGTATTATTGATGCCGATGGAAAGCAGGGATACTCCCCTTGCATCTGGGATGGTTTGCCCAGGAGAAACAGAGGAGTGTGTGTGTCTTTTTTTCCCTCCAGGCTGAAGGAGCCAGTGAGGGCTGGCCCACCCAGCCTGCAGAATTCATGTGTGGACTGGGCCTTTTTTTCTCTCTGACACCGTAGGAACCCCTCTGTCTACAAGACACTTGTGAACAAGCTCGTGTGGTGTGTGCTCTTTTGGCAACAGCTATATTCAAGCTGACACTTTGATCCTTTGCAGAGAAACTGGTGGTTTAGACAACAAATTAATCTTACATGGCTTGGTTGAATGTGATTAAAGGATTTGTTGTTACAGAGTCTAGTAACTTATTTTAGCATTTACCATATGATTTGTTGTTCTTAGAAGCTTTTATTTATTATTGATGCTCTGTTTAGCCTTTTATTTTTACCTTTGCTTTAGCATTTAGCTCAGAAGCCAGTTATGAATCTGAGAAGGTACAATGATGGGGTTTGAGTATCTGTGTTTTGTGCTGGCTTTCAAATCTTGATTTTTTTTTTTACGCTGTCATGATTGAGAAAAGTAGAGATGCTGATGATAGATTTCTTGCCCAAGACCTTGAAACTTTATACAGTCTGGAGGATGTTAGCTTAACTCCTTTCTAAAAAGCAATAGGAACAAACTTTCAAAGAAATGATCCTTTTGTTCAGTAAAGTGAAGAGTGTGATGTACTTGAAGCTTTCACAGTGTATTAAGATATTCTTTTTTAAAAATCCCTGTCACAGTGCCTGGCAAATACTTGTCTTATGTCTTTTAACTTCCTTCCCTTTGAATATGTGTGGTAGCCTATAGGCAGAGGGAAAAGTCATTTGTCCTATAAGCATAAGAGATTTCACTTTCTGTCCTGCTTGAAGAACCAATACCTCAGATTAAGGAGAAGTGGAGTTGTAAATCTGCTATTCCCTCAGATCCCCTGGGGCATCCTTCTCATGGTATGAACATATACAGAGGGTGCCCCAAAGATGTACACACATTTTAAGAAAGGAAAAAACTATATTAAAATTACACTGATGGTAACCACTTTGTAATTGCAGAAGTCAAATGTGACTTTCTGTTCATCTTTTATCAGTATATATTGTTACAATTTTAATAGTTTTTTTTCTTTCTTAAAATGTGTATACATTTTTTTGGGCACCCTCCATATATCACTGTACTGCATGGATTCTGGGATATAAAAATACATATTTCTCTCCCAACTTGTTTCTCATTAGTGAAATACTATCGTGTACAATACATAGAATCCTTCCAAGGGTACTTTAACATACACAGTTCTCATGGATGCATTGACTTTAGAAGCTAACTCCTACGTAAGGTACAATTCCACCATACTTCATACTGCACCCAATACATATGTGTGGGATGTATCAGCCTTTACTCAACTCGTGGTTAGGAAAAGAAACAGTTTTCTCGTCTTCACAACTCTTACAAGTACATTGGAAGTCTTTTGCAAAACATATTAGTTATTCTTATGAAAAGTTTGTTACCAATGCACTTGTTAATGCTCACTATGCACTCTTCGATAATTTTTCACTTCATTTGTTAAAGTGACTTAACTGGATTGTGCTTAACATTTGACTTAGTTTTATAATATCACAGTACAGCTTCTCTTCATATCACTACATAGAGTTCTAGTGTATTTCCCCTAAGTCTGGCCATTCAAACTAGTACACAGGCACACCTTGGAGATATTGCGGGTTTGGTTCCAGACCGCTGCAATAAAAGGAGTATCACAATAAAAGAAGTTGCAATCTTTTTGCTGGTGGAAGGTTTTGCCTTCAATCTAAAAAAGACACCACATCTGTGGAGTGCGACAAAGCAAAGCACAGTAAAACAAGGTGTGCCTGTGTATGTCTAATAATGCAATATTGATCTGTTTGTAAGATGTATAGGCTGATCTCCCACATGTGTTACCTGGAGATAGGTGTACAATTTCATAAAATAAAGGACCCCAGGAATACATGCTGTCCTATCATTTCTTTAGGATTCATGCACCAGAGATGTCTTTTAAGAAATTGTGCCTCATATAGTGGTTAACAGAATGTGATTAGCTTATTATTAATATTACCTAGCTTATGAAGTCACTTCTAAGATTGATCCATAATTTAATACACAGAACCATCCTTAGAGTGAAAATACTTGATCCTATATAACCTTAGGTGCTTTAAACCTTAAATTTCTGGTAACAAAAGAGGTTTGGCTGTTTTCAGAGTGAACCGGTAAACTTGTGTAAAGCATTCGTTTTTACTAAAGCAGCGTTTTCACCCGAGGCACTGTTAGCATTTGGGGCCGGATCATTCTTTGTCATGGGGGCTGTCCCATGCGTTGTAGGATGTTTAGCAGTATCCCTGGCCTCTATCTACTAGATGCCAATAGCACCCCCTAAAATGTCTACAGATGTTGCTGGATGCCCCCTGGGGCAAAATCGCCCCTGCTTGAGAACCACTGCACTAAACTAACCTTTGTCAAGTACCATGAGCACATGGCTTCTGGTGCTGGTCTCTGCTGGATAGACCTAACTGGCTGCAGCCACACTGTGAGATACTGGTGCAAACGTACACAGAAAACTAATCTTCAGGTGTCACATTGCAATTTTCAAAGAGCTTTAATATATGCTATCTCACCTGAAACTGAAATAGCCTGATGTGGATATTCATTATCACGTAGGAGTCTGAGATGTGGGAGCGTCTAGAAACTGAAAGATAAAAGTTTAACATAGAATACCTAAAATAATCTCCCAAGAGAGAGCAAATAAAGTCCATCCATGAAAAATAAAGTTGTTTTAATCTTTATTTTAACAGCCACTTATACCTTCAGCACCACACGCATCTCTTTCCTCTCATCCTCATTTGCCAGGTGAGACCAGAAACAGGCAATCCCCCAGGCTCGCACCATCCGTGTCGGTCAAGCTGATGCTGTTAACTGTGAACTCTAGCTTCCAGGTCCTTCCGCAATCATACTGGCTTTGTTTTTCTCGTTAAATGGAAACCTCCTAGTACAAAACTGAATACTGTGTTCCAGAATTTCCTCATTTCTTGCCCCATGGCCTGGAGGTGCTGATGATACAGGTGACAGCAGAAAGGGGAGGCCCAGTAACCTAATGAAGAGTCTGCTTGCAAGGAATAAATCTAGTGTCTTATTGTAAACATGACGTCTTTTTAAATATTGAGCCCAATCCCAGGAGATTGTGGTTTTTTATTGCTAGAAATCGATTAATTACCAAACTTGAGATCCTGATATCTCCTTTTGTTTTAAATTAGGTTGTTGCATCTGCCTTTATCTCTGACGGCGTTGAAGTTGAAGGCTTTGTGGTTATCTGACAACCAGTCCCAGCCCCTGCTCACCTTCCAGACGGACACGGACCACACCACAGGAGAGAAGATTTTAACCTGTGTCTTACTTCCTCAACTGCCTTCTGAACCTACTTGCCAAGGTGAATTTAAGGACCCTCGTCACTTGGCCATAAAAATTAGTAGGAGCTAATACCTTTCCATAAGACCTCTTATTCTCACGTGAGTCTGTATTTTGTCCAATCTGCCCCTAGAGCCAGTGCAGTGAGGTCACTGGGGGTCGCCTTTGGGAGGCACTTTTTGCAGGAAAAGTGCCACTTATACTTGTTTATCACGTCTGAAATTCCTTCAACAGCCTTTTGGTTTTGAATGATAGCTAGGGATGAAAGTACAAATACTCCTAAAAATGGTAACAGGGTCACTGAAAATCCAAACTGATGGTTTGGAGGATCAGTATTGTACCCCACGGGCAAACTTTGTTTTTAAGACATTGAGTTGTTTTGAGTCATTGTACCTTGTTTTGTAAACTCTGTGTGTTGTTGTTTTTTTAATATTCACACTAACATCAAATTGCTCATATAAATTCTTTGCTGAGAGCTGGTTTTGAAAGAAGAGAACTAGAGTGCTCGGGGAGAATGGGAGTCCCCTAAGTGGAAAGGCCCCAAAGCCACGCTGCCAGTCCCCACGTTGTCAGATGAACTTTTAAGACCCAAAGAGGAAAATGTGGTAGAATGTATTGGGTTGTTAAAAAAGTCATGACGTATTTTTTCTGTTTTTCATTGCAAAAATGTGTCACGATTTTTCCGACAACCCAATATCACTAAGGAAAGTACTGCCACAGCAAGTATCCTACATGTGCAGCCACATCACTGTCATAAGAAAGTTTTTAAGTTAACGTATAGGAAAGAGTCCTGGGAAAGGACTCTATAAATTATTGCATCCTGTAATGAATGGTAAACACATTCATTTAGCAGATATTTTCTGTGATCTCAAATATAATTACGCGTCACAGACAAGGAAGGGCAGCTGTGTCTCAGTCCTTTTTTTGTGTGTGTCTAATTTTTAAAATGACTGGAGAGCAGTCGCCGGCCCTGGGAACCCGAGCTCCCTGCTGACATGTCTTTGTTGTGACAGAGAACCTGCCCCGCTGTGGCGCGCTGGAGAACCTGGTGAATGATGTCTCCGATGAGGCCTGGAATGAACGTGCCATAAACAGAATCAGTGCAATCCGGTTTCTGGAAGATGAAAAAGATGAAGAAGACAACGAAATGGTATGGAAATGGGGATGCTTGGCCCCCATGGAAGTTCAGAATTTAAAAGCCTTCCAAGGCTGAGAATGGCACCTCATCAGGATTTCTTGTGTTTTCAAATAGTCTGTTCTCTGTTTTGCCTTCAGCATCTAAGATTTTTTTTTTTTTAGAAGACACAACTAGTTACTTCTAGGTACTGATTCACCAAAGGTATATAAGGCAAATGGAACTTTCATGGTCTTTTGCGTGAATGGTTTATGGTGCTTATTTTTCTTTATTTGTGATAGTCCCCCTCTGATCCCCACTGTTTTCTTAAAATTGATTGGGAATTTTTTATTTTTTGGTGTTCCCAGTGAACGAAACCTCTTCCCACCCTCCACCCTATTTATAACTCATGCTGACTCTGTTCACGTGTCATGGTGCAACTTAGCCCGCCTCCTCCTGTCCTGGACCGCTCTCTCTACTTCATGTAACCATTCTTCCTTTCACCTTTGTGCAGAGCCCCTGTGATCTTAGTTGGATTACTTAAGGAGTTTTCATTTAGAAACCAGGAAAAGATTTGAAAGTATGCCTCGGCCTTCTTTTCCCCCACACTTGAAAGGGCCCCTCAGCCACCCCAAATCTCCAAGAGTCAGTGGCAACTCTTGAAATTTTCCTCCAAGTTGACTTTGGCTTCTTAAACTCCTTGCCAATTGAGCTTTTCATAAGCAGAGCTGAGAGGGAGTTTTTGCGGCCCTCAAAACAAAGGGTGGCATTGAAATGATTACCTGTAGTCTTTGTTATTCCAGCTGTCACCGAATGGGATGTTACCCACTTCCAGTAGTAGAGTGCCAAATAGGAATCAGGCATGACAAAATAACTGTGATATAAACGGCTCTTTAATGCTTACCTCATGGCTTCTTTGAGTGTGATTGTTTCGCCAGTTGCTTCCTTGCCTCTATCGTGCTCTTATTTGATTAGCCTGCTCTAGCTCCTCCTGAAACTCCTGGACAGACCATTTAAAAGATGTAAATGCTGGTTTATGAGCTGAAGAGCGTGTAACATGTGAAATAATATAGCTTTTAAAATATTGCACCTAGTCTATGACTTCACTTCCAGCACTGTAGTCTTTATCAGAAGAATGTGAACTTTCTCCAGTAGGTCATATAAATCAATAGCACACACAGCAGCAAAATAAGAAAAGAAGTCCTTCTCTCGCTTCCCTTTTTCTTCAACTCCCAGGCCTCGTTGAAAGAAGCCAGAACCACTGTGGGTAATATAATAGTAGAATATTATAGTGATTTTAATTCACAATTCTTTTACCCCTTCATCTTTTTCTTCCTCCACACCCCACAATTATATCTTGTAAATCTTTCATTTTTCTTCTCACGGTTCATGAAACTTTATTTTTATCATACATGCATCTCATAAATTTTATTTATTTTTTTTTAGCTGAGCCATCCTGCCACCTGTTGGCAGCTCAGCAGCAGCTCAGCTCAGGCCAGGCATCGAACCGCTGTTGCTCAGAGCTCAAGCTTTTGAGCGAGCTCTTAACCAACTGAGCCACTCAGCCGGCCCCGCATCTCATATTTGAAAACGTATTCTTTTATTCCGAAAGTAACCCTCTACCTTGACGAGGTAACTTGCATGCAACACTTTCATCCCCCATTGACTGCTGGTAAGCAGTTGGTACATGCTCATATGTCCGAGGAAAGCATTTCTATCCGCTTAACCTCATTGTCTATGAGAAAGAAAGGTTTGCATTGGAAAGAGGAATGGAATGAAACCAAAACACTCACTCCACCATTTGTTTTCAGAGAACACTTCAGAGGCGAGCCACCCCACACCCAGGGGAGTTAAGGAGTATGAAAAAGACAGTGGAGAACTTACGGAATGACATGAATGCTGCTAAAGGACTGGATTCAAATAAAAACGAGGTCAATCATGCCATTGACCGAGTGACCACTTCTGTGTAGACTCACCTCCGAGTTTTACCTCCCGAGTCTTCCCCTGCTGTTGAGATGTTCCAATCTTCTGAGGAGTCTCATGCAGTCTTCGTCTTCACCGGAACCCGAGCATCGCCTCCCCACGTCACCTGTTGGGTTGGGACGCTGCTGTCTCCAGGGAAGTGCCTTACTCTAACCAGTCAACCAGTGGTCTCCCAGCATGATTTCTCCTTTTCCTCAATTTCAGTTGTTTGTACTAAGTAGAATACACTACTGTAAACACCTGACCTTCGTTTTTGTCTTATGTTGGGGTCAGGGAGAGCAGGAAGGGGAATTTGTATCCTTCTCCCTTCCCTGAATTGCTGGGACATTGCTTGGACAAGTTCTCTTAGACCTACTGATGAGAGATAGTTTTATGTATGGGGAAAAATTGATACTTTTTTAAACCTTTTTGGCAGCTCAGATGGTGTAAATTTAAAAATTTGTATAGGTTATTTCGTAACAAAAAATATGTATTTCTTTTTTGTTATTTTATCTTGAAAACGGTACCTATTTTAGTATTTGTGCAGAAAAAATAAAAACACTCCTAAAGTATTTGTTTTTATTTGTACCATCCACTGTGCCTTACTGTAACCTGTGTCCTGTCAAACCAATTGTACACAATGGCATCCTTGAGCAGTCAGATGAGACAAGGAATGTGGTACTTGTTAAAGCAGTGTTGGGTTTTAATCAGTGATCTACCTGGTGAATTTGTTTTTAACCAAAAAGAAGAGTTAATATCAATTTGTAAATTATATTGGATGATTTTTTTTTAAAAGATGAACCAAAGGATTAGGCTGCTAATATTTCATTTCTTACAATTTAACGTTTCATAAATGAATTTCTTAAAAATGAGTGCAGTGTCTGATTGTACCTACTCGGAGTGTGTGTGCCATTTGTAAAATAAAATAGAGCAGAAAAGCACAGAAAGAGATAACCGGTTCAGAAATTCAGTGGGTAAATAAATTATGTACTGCAAAAGAAAGGATGGTTTTTACTGAAGAAAGCTTTAAAAGTTTTATATTGAAATATAAAACCACAATAAAGTAAAATAACCTACAACCATATTAGAAATGTTGCTATCTTTATAAGTGCAATTGAGTTTGTAAATAGAGTGAATCAAAGTGTAACAAAATACTGCTTCAACTTTTAATTTTAATTCTAATTTAAGGGGCTTGGGGGAATGTTTTGGTGTGTTTCCATTGATTTTTTTTTCCTTTTTTGTATTATGTGATAAAAGAGAAATGAAAAGCACCAGTCACTATATTGTGTCTAGGAAAATCATATTGTTGGTTTTTTGTTTTCTCTCCATGAAATAAAGTCACCCTGGACATTAGCCATACAGCTTTTTAAAATTAATGATTACCTTGCATATGCAAATGATAGCAGGTAGCCAAGTTCCTTGACAGTGTGCTCCCTTCCTCCCATTAAAGATCAAAAGTGTTGGTCAGTTTTGAGTTAACTGCCTGTGGGAGTCTCATTTACTGGTCCTTCTACACAGGACAGAGCCCAAAATTGCCTTCAGCCCTTATAACTTCGGGTTGTGGCATCTGGCCAGTTGGACTCCTTAGAAACCTGCTTTCAATCAACCAAATACTTCTTTTACTACTATGCATTTACTTATTGAGTTGACTTTGCTTTTTAAGTTGTTCGTATCTATGTATATATTTTAAAGCTTTATTGAATTCAAAGTATATGGCACATAAGTGGTTTGGGGCTAGTCGGTTTTATACCTTGCTCCCTAACCTCCCATTTTTTTCCTCCATTTTAAGATTTTGGCACACTGTTTTGTTTTATAAAGATGATGTCACTGATTCATGGGCTGATGGATAAGCAAATTGGTTTTCTTTGAGGCGAGTTACATTAACCCTGAAGAACAAATAAAACCTCCATAGTTTTCTTTTGTTTGTTTTTATATAAAGTCCACACTTTAGTATTCAGTTTATCATGTCTTTAGTAGAATAGAGGTAGACAGAATAGTGTGTGTGTTTAAATTTTTCTAGGAAATTTTATGTACCTAATTATTCGTTTCCTTTGCCCTATCTCCTGTATATCACATTCACCTGGGGTTTTTTGTTTTCAGTTTTGGGGATTCAGTTACTTTCTTGAGAAAAGTTACTTTTATCTTAATCGTCTATTCTGGGGTGACCTTGCAATGCTCTTTTCCTTCAAGAGGCTGAGACCAGACTTTCAGCTTCACCATGGAAACAGCACCAATCTATCAGACCCAACTCGAGAACGTGCCGGCCTTTTCCAAGGAGACCTCTCTTGTCATTTTAAGGATCGCTTAATTACACGAAAGAACACCTTTCCCTTGTGAGGCGAGTGCTGGGAGGTCCTGACCTTTTCCCCGGGGAGCGTGTTCCACAGCACTGTCCGCCCCCTCTCTCCCCGTTTCCCAGTCTGGCCCTCCTGCTCTCTAGCAAAGCAGGAGTATGACGTGCTGCCTGTTACTCTTGCGGGAGTGAGAGGTGAAAGCAGAAAAGAATATGACTTGTTCACCCACTTTTCGTGTAGCCCCTTATTTCCTCTTTTTAGCAACAAAATCACACCTCAGTGGATAAAATAGTCAAAAACATGTAGAGGGGGTAAAATCATGAAAGTCATTGACGATGAAAAGAGGGACAGGTAAGAAAACTGGAATGATTTCCCTGGATGTTTTTTTGTTGTTTTTTTTTCTGGAAAGTTTGGAGGAATGATCCTGGTCTACCCAGTCTATCCAAAAGCTTCCTTTGTTCGATATCACAGGTAAAGAAGCACAGATGGGGTCGCTCATACCAGCCTTTCACAGCAGTCCTGCCATCTCTTGAGAAATCTGCCACACCCAAGAAGACACACTTAATGGATGGGGTGGTGGCTGGGAAAAATGTTCTTCGTCAGAAAGTCCCTCTGAACAGCCAGTTCTAACCTTGTAAAAATGACTGACACCCCTGCTCTCGGCACGCTGGCTGGTGAGTGGGAAGTCTGCACAAATACTGACAAAGGACAGCACTGGAGCTGCTTATTAATGAGAGGTGATCAGGGATATTGCAGCTCAGTGACATCCTTGGAGAGCTGAAATCTCACTTCAGCAATTAGTGTTGACTTACCCAACTTTCCAAAGAGCCAATTAAAAAATAAAAACCAAAACTTTTATTATGGAATCAACAACATACAAAAGTAGAATTATATAGTGCACTCCCATACACCGATTACCCAGCTTCAGCAATTACCAACACAAGACCAATACTAAGCCATTTTAATGGAACCAAATTAAGTTTTAAAATACATAAGAAGAAGACCGCACAATGAAGTAAATCATTGAAAAATTCAGGAAAAGCAGAGAGCGAGTATGCCCTTGAAAGCAGCACTTTGGTGTTAAAAATTTTGTAAGTCAGCATAGCACAACCATTGGAATCATAAGGACATAGGTTTGAATCCCAGCCCTACCACATGGCTTTGGATAAACCACTTAACCTCAGTGGCCTCAGGTCTTTCGTCTCCAAAATGGAGAGGTCATATGTTTTACAGGCTTGAGTGAGGATTAAATGCGATACATAAAACATAAGCTCTCAGGAAGTGGGTGGCTGCTATTATCACAGGTCTTGCTGATGTTGTTCTAGTCGTGTTATTAGCAGCTCTGCAGTTCCTACCCGGAGCTGGCAGTGTGTGCTCCCAAGGGTAGCGTTCATCGGGAATGAGGACACATACTGCTAGTTCTCTGGCAGATGTATGAAAACTTCCTTACCTGTGCGGTTACATATTGACCCTGGACTTAGGTAATGGGCCAGGGGAGTCTTAGTTTGTCAGGTCAGCTCTCTCACTGGTAATGTTAGCAATAGTCTCATGGTAATCTCATTGTAACTGGACTTAGGAGCTAGCTGTCATCAAGGTAAAGCTAGTTTCTACCAAGAAACTATTAAAACACCTCATTGAAAAAAGGGTCTGTCTGGATTTCCACACAACGTCCTCTTCTTTGTCATGTTCTTAGTTTTCGAGGTTTTGGCCTATTGTGCTCATTTACTGACTTATTTCTATTTCCTCTTTGATTTTTGTAACTTCCTCCTTTTTCACCTCTTGCAGTGTTCTCTCGCAAAGGTCAACTTCTGAGGCTTTTATGTATCAGGAGAGGCAGGTACACTTAAGAGATGGATCATGCCTGGAGAAAAACCTGGATAAAATAAATAAATGCAGCCTGACTTGGGGAGTGGAAAGAACACGCCCATCTTGCTGCCCTGTTTTCTTTTTTAAAAAGCTGACAGCTGGCGGGAAGGGGAAACCAACCAGAAGAACCTGATCTGGTTGCTTTGGTTCACCAGGCTGCATGGAAAGCTGGAGGTGAGCTTTTGCACCTCCCAGTTGGCCAGAAGGACAGTATAATTTTCAAGTGAGAGTGGGCAGTAACTGGGCCAAGCCAAAGATCTTGAGGTTTAGCCAAGGGTTCTTGAGTTCTGACTGGGCAAGAATCTGATTGGGTGGATCCTCTGATGGGTTGATGCATCAGCATTGGAGGCATCAGCATTTAATTTCTAAGCAGATGTAGTTGACCCTTGAACAGAGTGAAGGTTAGGGGCAACCGACCCCTGTGCAGTCAAAAACCCACCTATAACTTCTGACTCTACAGTCAGCCCTTCGCATCTGTAAATTCAACCTATGAAAGATTGAAAACAGTATTTTCGATGCTCAGTTGGTAATCTGCAGTTACGAATCTGCAATTGGGAATGGGAAAATACTTTTCCCGTCCTGGTTGGTTGCATCTGCAGACGCGAAACCCGCGGATACGAAGGTGGTAGGGCTGACTGTATTTATTGAAGAAAAAGAAAAAAATGCGTGTCTAAGTAGCCCCAAGCAGTTCAAGCCCGCGTTGTTCAAGGGTCAGCTGTAATGAGTCGCCCCCTAGTATAGTGAAGTAGGAGTTAAAATGGCTGTTGCTTACTGAGCAATGACTGCCACCCAACCGAGCTGCTGACCCAACAGTCAGTTTTCCAGAACACCCCCAGGAGGTAGGTGCTGGCATTTAATCTTTACAAAGAAGAGAATTGAGATTCAATTAGTTTTAAAATTTTTTCTGAGCTCAAGCACTCAATGACGAAGTTGGAATTCAAATTCACATCTCCGTTGACTGGAGTTGTAGGATCTCAATGACTCCTAATTTTGCTTTGCTCCCTTCCTTGGATAAAAATACTGTGAGCCTGTAATTACATTTAGAGTTGTGTTTATCATAGTGGTGATGGTTCTGTTTTAATTTACAGAGATTATTTAGGCCTGGGTTATGGACAAAGACTGACATGGAACTGAGTGAAATTTAGTGACCATATATGCAGACTTGCGCCTTCATTTGTGTCTAGTTGTGGTAGCAAGCGTTATGCCTCTACCTCTGGTGCCTCCATTAACGTCCTCCCCCTGCCCATCCCCTGTCATGTTGTCCTGTGGTCAGTGCTGTGAAAATGTGCGTGGCCCCTTTCTTCTACCTGCATGCAAATCACAAGAAACTTGGGAGATATATTAAGTAGTTGATTAGGGGGTAATAAAAAAAAAAGGATGCTTTTTCACATTGACTAAAATGACAGTTTAGTAACCAGCTTGCTGAGAGAGCTTTAACTTGTTCCAAAAATTGGCAGTTAGCTCTAGTGAGCTAATTAGTTAGGAATGATTTCTAACCTACTTTTACTAGCCTACCCTTGGAGAAATGACAGATAGTGAACACGTGGAAATCAATAAATAGTGCTGCAACATGACATTAATGCAGTTTGGAGGAAATAAGAATGATGAGTCATGATTTTTAAAAAATCCTTTTAAAAAGCAATGTTGCGAAAGATGTGACAAATAATGATCGCTCCCACTTAGCTATGGTTTAATCAAAGAATCAAAAAATAGAAAGAATAGAAAACTCATGTGACTAAGCAGTACTTCATTTATTTGAAACCGGACCTACCGCCCTGGTTGTAGAAAGAGAAGGCCTTATGCATTCTTCACATTGAAAGAAATATAGTGACACTCCATACCTGATACCAGGTAAGTAGAATCTACAAGCGCGTCACTTTAGGTGCTTTCTTAAGGAGTGTCATAGATGAGGTCTTACTGCTTGCGAAACGTTGCCCAAGAACCCGTGAGACAGCACTTACTGAGCATCTAAAAGAAATAGGCTCTCCTCTCTGGGGAGACAGTTTGTTCCTGTGGGGACCCTGAGTATCCCGTGTTGACATTCACACACCTGCTGCTGCTTCCTGTCCTCCCTCGGCTTTAGGTGTGAGTGCTTGTTTGCTTAAACCTTGATTAGTGCTGCTTGGAAAAACAAAACAACACATTTACTTGTCTGGGCATTGAATGTTCTTCCTGAATTTTTGTCCTGCCCACTGTCCCGGAGGCATAATGGGTGGGGCGAGTTTCGGCGTTGGTTTGGAAGTTTCGAGAATGGGCTGTGGGCTGGGTCTGTTAGGTTGAGGCTGCTCTTGGTTTTATTCACTTTGAAACATCTGAGGTCAAGGAGCGTTGCCATAGATGACTATGTGAATTGTTATATTCTGGCTGTGCCTCTTTCTCACATGAGGGCAGACGTACCCGGGGAGGCATTTTATAGAGCCCTGACAGATGTTAGGTAACCCTCATCCATGTTGTGTTCTCACCTGGACACCCGAAAGGTGTGCAGGGTGAAAACATCACCAGTTAGATGAGATACCTGCTTGACACTGACTCCCTCCACATCTGGCTGCTGGTCTTCATTCC